TACAAATGCATTAACATTTATTATCTATTTACACTGTCTAGTTACACACTTTTGGAACCGATACATTACAGAAGCTGCAAAATATTCTGTACTGTAAAAACTCATTCTCACTTTTCTTTTTCCATTCTGGGGACATAAAGATGATCCTACCTGAGGTAAATAACTACAGTGGCTTATATTAATTTACAAAGATTCTTTAATACCTAAATACTGCAACTTACAAATTCCTAAAAATGTGAATCTGAATAATAATAATGCATTTCAATAGACTTCCTTGGCTTTCTTTTAAAAATATGGTTTCCTCAAATACAGACTCTAAATAAAAATATATTTAGGCTAAGTTCCTCTCACGTATTCGTCAAATTTATCATGAATAGTATACAGTATATATGATTTTTTAATGTCAGCCAGCACATTCAGGATCATTAACATAATAAACATGACTTTATATGAAAAAGAGGAAGAAAATAAATGCACTTTGTAGGAAAATCAGGAAAAATTTAAAGAATGAAAAAAACAAACAAACAAATACTGTACTGGCATTATGAAATTAAACTATAATTAAGCAAACCATACGGATTTTAGTCATAAAAACTATGATATATTTTTCTTCGATATAACAATATTGAGATATCACTAACATATATAATATTTTTCCTTAAGAGGTAAAGCAACATCTTAAAACTGACTAGAAATTCAATTATTAAAAAGTTAAAATGGTTGCAATATTTTCCGTCGACTGCATGGCTTCCGATGTTATGGGTATGCTGATTATATGATCAGCTGTGGAGATCTGCTGCGTTGGAGTCTGAGATGACTGCTGGTGGGACTGCTGGGGCTGGGGTCGCGGTGCCAGGAGAGGGCCGTGGCTCCTGACTGTTGCAATGGTCTGAGCCCCGGCCTGTGTGCCTCTCAGCTCTCTTTGGGTGAGGAGCTGCCCGTTGTGTAGGTGGTCGAACTCAAACTTTATCCGTAGCTCGCCGATGAGAGACTTGGGCAGTATGTCTGGGATCCATTCGATGATGAATGGGGTTGGTTCCTTCTGTCCCGGGGCAGTCGTGCCCACGCGTAACCTGGTTTTGTATCCTTGGGGGCGCAAGAGAGGTTGGTTTGGACTTCCCTTGGCAAAAACAGAGTCTTCTTCTGGGTGTTGGTATAACTTGTAAGTACCGTCACGGTTCTGTATGAAACTGCGAGTCATTTCCAGGGGCATTTCTGGACTGTCAAAGATCTGCCGCACATGTAGGTCACTTACAATTTTCCAAGTGTACTTTGTGAACCTCCCAACAGGTAATGAATCCTTCCTCAGCAACGTCTGGGTCTCGTTAGGTAGCCTTTTCTTTTTGGACCTGGCATTTATTCTTTCCATAAGACACTCGAAAAACAGCTTTGGCATGTGGAAAATGAGTGGATCTGGTTTCCCATTGAACCCATAATGCATGGTCTGGTTGATCCTCTCTGTGACGCTACCTAGCCATGACATAAAGCTGAATGAAGCTGTGTTTTCGTCCACTGGTTCCTTCGCCTTCCTGGCACATGCTCCCGTCAGGGGTCTTCTTGGTGATGACATCTGGGGAAGGAAGGAAATGTCCTCAGTCTCCTGTGTTGTAATTATAATAAATTACTTAGAAGAGATTCCACATCTAGGCTGTCCTAAAATGTAATAAAAGGACAAAATAAAGCTCTATTCAGTTCTTCCCTAAACATATTAAGAGAACAATGTGCCAAAGAAATCCAAGATGAGATATCCCAATACTGCAAAATCAGTCAGTACCTAATATTGAATCTAAATCACCTTTCAGTCACAATTCATTATGCTACAGCCAAATTTAATACAACTAGAAAATTCCTCTTGGATTTCCAAGTGCACACTTTGATTCAGTTTCCATTCTACAACAAGCAGTTAAAAGTTCATAATTGACTTTACTTATATCCCTGATTATACTTCACAATATCTACTCATTACAATACTGTTACTAAGAAATATCATATCCAAGGTATCTAATAAAAAAAAGGCATGATAAATGAGAACTTAAAATCTGTCTAAGTACTACTCCTTGCCCTTGAATTAGGTGGGGATCTTCCATGACTTATCATTTTATAATATTTTGAGTGGTTAGAAATGTCTTAATACCACCGATATAAAACTATTCACCTTATGATCGATTGTGAGGAACATAACTTAACCCATTGCCGCCGGGGATGGCATGTATGTACATGCCATGCCCACTGTGAGTCGACTTGTTTGATTGTTTTTACACATAAATGGCTACACTTGTACTAAGTATCAAATGAGCTAATTATGAGTACTGCCTGACTCGCCCACTCACCCTTTTCATCGATTTACGAAAACATTTAATGTTATCCTAATTTGCTGTTAAAAATAACACCATCTATATTTATAGCACTAGTAAAAATACGTCTTCTCCTGCCAATTCAAGGGAAGGTGAAATCAGGACTAGCAGAGCCATCTATGGACAGAGATATTTCACAAAATTATAAGAAATGAGTACTGCATTTCCCCCATTTTTTGTTCATTTTCCCCGGCGGCAATGGGTTAACTTCATGTCTTGGCATACTTGTACAGTATACAACCTAAGACACACAAAAAAAAGACAATCAATTTAAAAAAGCAAAAGACGACAGAGAAGCAAGCCAGAACTTTGCGCCCTTGCCCTGCCTCTTCCCTCGGCTTACCTTCTTGGTGCCGCTCTCCTGCAGGGTGAGGAGGGCCGAGCTTGCCTGAACTACCGAATCGTCCTGCCTCCTCTTCATGCCTGGAACCGGGAGATTGTCGGGGATTTGGTGAACAGATATCGTCCCACCGTCCGATGTGCGCAGGTGTATGCCGTCTGGGGTTCTCAGCTGGATCTCTAACTTACCTTCTATTTCCTCCTGTCAGTTGTTGAAAAGTTGCAAGAATTAAAAATGTATCTCCGCTTATACTATAATATCAATAACTGATTGACAAAGATAGATGGAAAAGAAAAAAATATATATATATGTGCTTTGTACAATATCAGTTCATTTGTTTTCTTTTAGAAAATCAAAGATACAGCACAAATACAATAAAAAAATGTATCAATAAACATAGAATAACACCAGCCCCAAAATACATAAAAACAATGTATGACTCACTGAAAGCATTATAACCCCCTTTTGGGCTCTGAAAAGCCTTATCACATGGAGCATAATTAGAGAAACTCAACAGTAATTTTGATCTTTTATGCACAGTTATAGAGTTCATTGGAAAGTAGCAGTATTTTTCAGGCAGGAGATGAAGAGGGTAAATAGTGGTGTTATTTGGACAAAGGCAGGACACACTGACCCTTGGAACTGAACTTTGGAAAATGAACAATATTTTTTACTGTAGACACACACACACACACACACACACACACTAGCTTGTTCAGACATAAATACCCATTATCTTTCCTCGGAGATGAATGCAATACTAGTTGTTTTTACTTAAAACCTTATCCAACCCTTCATTTTAGTCAGTGAAAAGAAACAAATCATGGCTATTTCTTTCAATAAACGTAATTATGGAAGTATCCTCCCAGAGAATTATTCTATAAGAACTATTAACATCACCAATTCATGAAAATACAATACATATGAAAATATATCTTCTTAAATCAGTCATTTAACATCATCATCTGGTTCTAAAACTTTTAATCATAAACTGCTTCCTTTTCCTTTCCCTTTTCCCCCTAAATTTGATAATAGACGGAGTCAATTAATACTATTTTGAAAGAATAATGTTCAAACTTACTGATAGTATTTGAATTCGTATTTGACTGTAAAAGGGATAAATGACCCTTGCAAAGATACAATCAACAAATTATACATTACACCAGAGGGGCTATCTTTCACTACTGTATTGTACTTGCATGTAACTTTTCCCATCCTACTGTTCTTCCCTTGGCTAGAGATATTCAAATTTTCTACTATTTATCTTAATGGCTATGATTTTTGATGATGATGATGATGATGATGATGATGATGATGATGATTGATGATGATTGATGATGATGATGATTGATAATGATGATTGATGATGATTGATGTAATAATAATAATTAATAATAATAATAACAATAATAATGATGATGATGATGATGATGATAACAATGATAACAGTTACAATAATAATAACAATAATAACATTAAAAATAACTAGTAGTAGTAGTAGTAGTCCAGAAGTAGCTGTAGCCTAGTAGTAGGAGACCTGATCACCACCACCCCCAAACAAGACCCCTCCAAGCCCCACCTGTGTCACCAGATTTTCCGCTGGCGATATGGGAATCCCCTCGAGGATCGTGGTCGAGTCTTCCTGCAGGACCTCCACCTCCACCTGGCACTGAGAATCCCCCGAGTCGTTCAGTATGAAGAAGGACCGCTCTCCCACTCCGCCGAGCCCACTGCTGCTCTCTCCGATGCCCACACTGTTGTCGTCTCCTGCGGCACTGCTGACACTTAGGTTTGGAGACTGACTCACGTCGCTGTGGGTTCATCAAAGGGGTGTCTTTTAGGTCTGTGACTGGAAATTGTAATCGACCGTGAAAGCAAGTAATTTACATCGACTGAACTATGTAACAGTTTTGGTCAGGGTGTGACATAATTTTTTGGCGTTTAATAATAAAAAAATATATGTATGTATGTATGTATGTATATATATATATATGTATGTATGTATGTATGTATGTATGTATGTATGTATGTATGTATGTATGTATGTATGTATGTATATATATATGTATGTATGTATGTATATATATATATATATATATATATATACATATACACATATATATATAAATCTATATTCATCTTATAGGTCTTCTGTCCTTTTTAGAGCGAAACAAACACCAGTGTATAACTAACATAATAGCAGTTCAAAGCCAAAGCTTCCTTTGTGATCTGACAAAGCTTAGAATCCAATGGTTATTCACCATTTCTCATACCAACCCTGTGAAGCTCCCAACATCAAATGGACTTGCACCCAAACTAGGACAGATTTAAGTAGTCTGAGACTCACTTATAGTGTACCTGGTTAATTGTTATCTTGCAAATGAACTGACATAGATTTACATATGTCCAAAACTCATTTCTGCAAGACATGAGTCTTGGGACAGAATTTGAATGTGAAATATCACTAGTTAAATGGATATTTCCTCTGAACCAATTGGGTCTAACTTGATACTAATATAATAATTATCTAACTGTTAAAGGCAATCATTTTCTAGAAGTAAAAAACAACTTATTACATTATAACCTGTCATAACCAAGTGGTCTTTCCTGTCTGTGTTCATGAACTATTGGAGAGTATATACATTTTAGCTGGAGAATGTATTACACATCATTCCTTTGGTCAAGCACTAGAATCAACACTGCTGCACTTTGCATTGACAAGTCTGCACCAGAGCAGCCAGAAATCTCATGTATTTAACCCATTTGCCACACGTGGCAAGAATAGATGCCATGCCCACTTTGCTACACATTTATTTATTGTATTTACACATAGAAGGCTCCACAAGTTCTTAATCACCAAATAGCCAGTTATCAAGAACTACCTATTTCACCTGTTTACCCTTTTCCTTCACTTTAGGAAAAGTTTCTTTTGTATCATTTCATTGTCTAAAATATTCTAATGACAATTTAATAATCATAACATCAATAACAATAATAACAGTTTCAATAGCAATGGTCTGTATGTTACAAAATTCACCAAAAACTACAGGGGACAGAACATAAATCTGGGGCAAATGGGTTAAGAAACAGCTGTAAGTCATTTATGTTAAACAGTACATACAGATGGAATTCTTTGTTCCACACTTACCTTTGAATCAAATTGATATAGTATGAGAATTCTTGAGCTAGTTGGAGATCACTTGCAAAGGCCACAACACAGGCATAAAGGTGGACACATTTCCGGAAAGTCACATCTCGAGCAGCGGGCTGTATTTTGAAAGCTCGACAACCACAGTAATATTTGTATTCCATTTCTTCCTTATTTCGAACCTTATGGAGGAACGCAAAAAAAAAAGTATAAATTAATATAGGGTAAATCTAAAAGCAACAACTCAAAGAAATATATCTTTGAATGTAGAATTACTGTAACTAATTTTACCTCCTGGATTTTTTTCTCTCTGTCTTCCTAATTGTACTAGTCTCATTGGCTATGAGGAGAATAAAAACTACAAAATATATTGCTAAGATCAAATATATTCTACTAAATACTGTTTATAGTAATTTTAATATTACTTAGGAGACTAATCCTAAATAGTATAAAATGAGTTTGATGTAAAAAAGGAAGAAATTTACCTAGAGACAAGAGTTTTGTGTAAATTGTCTATCAAAAAAATACTACAAATTCCTTTTTATTTATGACTGATCAAACACATCCATCTTGATCAGTCCTTAAAGAGAAAGCTATTCTTAGTTTGTCACTCAAAGAACAGTTAAACTTAATTCTCACTGATTTAGAAACACTAAAGAAAGATACTAGGGTCCCAGCTGTAAAACAAAACTAAGCCAAGATTCAGCAGCATTCCCTTAGCCATTATTTAACAGTCACTTCCTAATGGTACTCACTTGTTGAAAGCTAAAATGCAAGAAGCCTAGAGGATGGAGAGGCTCGGGTTTACATTTAACAACCATGATGTTCTTGGAGACTCTCTGAACAAGAGGACCTGGAGTGTCTGTCGCCAGCTGCCATATGTCAGATTTAACAGACTGTGGTATTGGTAAAGAATTGAGGACTGAATTTTTCAGTGTGAGAGACTGTGCTTCTTTGAAACACTGTGAGGCGGCTCTGATATGTGAACACGGAACTGCCGGATTCTGAAATTATATGCATACAGAAAAAGTTGTTTAGAATCTTTAATAGATCATCCAAAATTTGTTTTCACAGGTTACTTGCTTAGTTTTTATAGTGAACTGAAAAAAGTGCACTACCTGAAATTCTTGATACTTTTCCAATAAAAGAGTATTAACCATCGAGAAATTAAAATAAGTTAGACTTGACAACAGCAAACTCCTTCATGTGAAATAAATGAAGTTTTTTATATATAATGAAATTCCATGAAAAAAATTATTTTCCCTTGTTACTAGAAAGGCCTTCTCAATAAACTTCAAATGATTCCTAAGTACAGATATAACTCATATTATAATAATATTCTCACATGAAAAAAAGTCACAGCCATAAAGTAATGTATACAGTAAGTCCCCAACTTAAGAACATAATGGGGACTGAGAGGCTGTTTGTAAGTCGATTTGTTTGTATGTCGAAAGTCAGGTGTCCATTATTTTAAACATATTGTTTTAAAGTTTTGTTTACATTAAGAATACCTGTAAATAAATCCCAATACCTGTAATATGTAATGCTTTTAATATTATTTGATGGTTATTCATACAACTTTAATGTAGAAACATAAATTATTCAAAAAGAAAATATATTGTAGTGGTGATGGAAGGCGACTGAGGCACAGTGATGTGCACAGCTGAGTGATTGAGGCAGCGCCGCGGCGTGGCAGACTCGTGAACTATATTCGCGCCCAGGAAATTTGAAGTTTGCTAGCATCTTTCAAACAATTTTTTGAACTTTAGTATTTAAAAAAATGTTCGTATGTATGGAATGTTCATAAGTAGAATGTTCTTAAGTAGGGGACTATCTGTGTATATATATATATATATATATATATATGTGTATATATATATATATATATATATATATATATATATATATATATATATATATATATATATATATATATATATAATTATAAGTGTTGATCAAATACCAACACTTCCCTGCTTACCATTATTTTATCACAATTACGTTGGCAAGGCTCAACATAACACCTGGCTCCCATCTGAACGAGGAGGACAGGGTCATCTAGCGGTTCAGCTCCGATGAATATATCACCAGATCCATCCATCGACTGAATAAGAGGCAGTTGGACGAATCCTCGATAATCCGGACCTTTATCACGCACTCTGACAGAGTATATCTGAAAAAATAATTGTGTTTACAGTATATTTTAACTGCAGATTTAGTGAATGAATAATAATAAACTATCCCAGAGTGGTACATTTCATACAGAGCCATTGACCTACTTCATCACTGCACTTATAAGTCAAGGGCCATTTAAATATCTAACTGTGTTTGTGTGTGAGCTTGTGTGCAGATACTTGTGCACATTATTCTTGCCAATTTGTCCTTGTTTTAAGCCTTCTACTAAGTTTTCACAAAAATATTGCATGACCTACTAGTGATACAAACATTGTTAGCAAGACCTATGAATAAAGATTAAAAAAAAAAAAAAAAAAAAAGTTTAAAAAGGTTCTGAATCTTTGCATAAAAAATGATGTCACATTTTTTTCTCATTACAAGATGTAAGATGAGATGAGATATGCTGTTATTCATTCTAGTAACCAAGTAGAATGATAGAGCAGTAGAAATTTCAGTGCTTTTTCTTTCTACTAAATAAAGTTATATGTTAATCTCAGTGCAGCTTATCTGTGGTCAGAGCATCCTGAATTAAACTATCCTCTGCCTCCAGTAAATTATATTTCTGCTAAATATATCCAACAAACCATATACATAAACATTTTCCAAAATCAAGCCTCATTGACTGGAACCCAGCCTCGTAATGTGATTAGATATCATTTAGTATCAGTGAAATATTCACTATGATGTGATTAAAAGGCACCTGGTCTGAATGGATTAACAGGTGTTCAAAACTTCATGCATATACAGTACAGGATTTCTATACATTCATCAGATCATTCTGATTAGGATTAACATAATATGGATAATTTGATACACTTTCTTGTAGTCGACTTTTGCTTTTATTCCATGTATAAATCTTCACAATTCTTTCATACTTTACCTGAGCATCTGTGCCAGCTGTAATTCGACATGCCTCCGTTGACAGTTTCCGTTTTTCTCCAGCTTCTTTGAAAATAACATCACAAGATTTATTCTTACAGGAGAAGCCTCGAGTGCCGTTTAAAGTGCCACATTTATGGCACTTTCGCACCCCTCTCATTGTGGCACGGCCCAAATCGGTTAGGAACGTGGCGCGTTTATCTTCCCGAGGCATCTGGGGATTGAAAACCTATTATTAGGTATTTGAAATAATCTACAAAGAGCATAAGTAAGGCAATAAGGTCATATAAAAGTCCATGCTTAAATGGATAGCTAAATTCTGCAATGCCTTGGCCTCTGACAATCCAATCTATACTATATATTCTGTAAAGACAGAGATTGTCAACTTCCTTGGCTATGTTCTGTCATTTAACGAATCTTCTCTGTTCTGTCTTGCCAAGTAGACTACATGAACTTCACTTGGACTTATTCTGAACAATTAATAATTATTAATTAATTTCTTCATCTTTTTCTTGAGTTTGTGTCAATTTGTAAATTTATTCATACTGTCCCTTGACACCTAGGCTTGTCATAAAAAAAAAAGACTTTTGCTTGTAAAAACATATATATATGTAAAAATATTGATGAACATGATATAACCCATGTAAATGTTAAAATACGATCGGCATTATGAAAATCATGAAACATGACAATCAATATGAATTTGGCAACATACAAAATATAAACTAACAATTGAGTATCTACATAATTTCTTCATTACATAAATTCCCTTGTATGAAATAATTTCTTATGACAATGGAAATAATTAAATCGAAATTGCTCCCTATATGACAATGCCTAAAATTTGCTAAACTCAACCCTGAGAATCAAACTGTCAAATTAATCAAATTTTAAAAAACAGATTCTAATGAAATCATATGAAAAAGTAGGTCTACATCAAACGTTTAAAAATCTGAAATCGTTACAAAGGCAAACAAGAAAACCTCAACATCAAAGGGTTCTTCAGAATCACAAAATATACCCATTACACAAAAATCATTACCCATCTTAATAAAAAAAAACAAAAAACATGCCCAATCAACCCCACCAAAACCCAATAAAGGCAACCCCCACCATCCCATCCCGAGGAACCGAGACTGTCCCCTTATTTCCCCCTCCAAACCCGCCGTCCATTGGTTTAAAAGCCTTCCTTCGGCCCTTCATCGCACGCCCCTCATCACCCCGGCGAGGGAGAGCCACATACCCTCACGTTCCAGCCTGTGACCGCCGAGGGACTGAGGAGTCTTAGGAGTTCACGAGTGCTTTGTTGACATCCGACGACAATGGCGCCCAACCAGCTTGCGTCGCGCATCGCCATTGGAGGAGAGGCGGCCCGCGCTGGTCACGTGGGATGACGTCGGGCGTCGCTATTGGAGGAGACGCGGCCCGCGCTGGTCACGTGGGATGACGTCGGGCCGCGGGCTCTTCGGATTGGTTGAGGGCATTTTGGGTGGGGGTTTTAAAAGTGGGTTCGGGATATTTTCGTTCTTTGGATCCGGAATTAGAAGGATTTTGTTGGTTATATGTATTCCGCAGGCAAAGGAAAGGTGTTTTTTGGTTGCAAGTTGTGATGTAAGGAGGTTTTGCATGGGATTTGCGGGAATGATTTTCGTCTCAAGCCGTTTACACAAGATGTCACCGTATACAATTTGAAACAAGAATAGATATTTAACAGTATGCATCAATTAACGGAAAATTTGTTAAACTATGCATGACATATAAGGAATAGAGAATCCTGTCATATTGTCATGCACCAAAAATCACAGTTTCGGGTAAACGCATTCGAACGCACTTGATAGAAAATGGGAAGCAGCTTATATTTTAAAGGGTAACTTATCATTCTTAAAGGCATCCTCATGGTCATTTATTTTCTCCTTTCAAAATATTCCTTTCACTGTCTATCACGAATCTTTAGATTCTAACAGTGAGCGAAATGAAGCTATGCAATTTCAGAGACATTTTGTTTAAAGGATCGTTAGTCGGACAAATAACCACACAGGTCATCACCATTAAACACAAACTTTACTACCTTTTTCCCAAATAACTGAATGGCCTTACGTGTCTCTTAACGACCGCAACGAGCCCTGGTGTATTGCATCTCTTGCAACCTCAGCGGTTCTGCAGCTGCATGGATGAAAAGTTTTTAAGAATGTACAGTAAAGCTTCTCCCATTTCGAATAAAGGACATTTATTGTGAGGTGGTGCTTTCTCTCTCCCTCTCTCTCTCTCTCTCTCTCTCTCTCTCTGAGATTATTAAAGGAAATCTCCGATATATATTATTATTATTATTATTATTATTATTATTATTATTATTATTATTATTATTATTATTATTATTATTATTATTATTATTATTATTATTATTATTATTATTATTATTATTATTATTATTATTATTATTATTATTATTATTATTATTATTATTATTATTATTATTATTATTATTATTATTATTATTATTATTATTATTATTATTATTATTATTATTATTATTATTATTATTATTATTATTATTATTATTATTATTATTATTATTATTATTATTATTATTATTATTATTATTATTATTATTATTATTATTATTATTATTATTATTATTATTATTATTATTATTATTATTATTATTATTATTATTATTATTATTATTATTATTATTATTATTATTATTATTATTATTATTATTATTATTATTATTATTATTATTATTATTATTATTATTATTATTATTATTATTATTATTATTATTATTATTATTATTATTATTATTATTATTATTATTATTATTATTATTATTATTATTATTATTATTATTATTATTATTATTATTATTATTATTATTATTATTATTATTATTATTATTATTATTATTATTATTATTATTATTATTATTATTATTATTATTATTATTATTATTATTATTATTATTATTATTATTATTATTATTATTATTATTATTATTATTATTATTATTATTATTATTATTATTATTATTATTATTATTATTATTATTATTATTATTATTATTATTATTATTATTATTATTATTATTATTATTATTATTATTATTATTATTATTATTATTATTATTATTATTATTATTATTATTATTATTATTATTATTATTATTATTATTATTATTATTATTATTATTATTATTATTATTATTATTATTATTATTATTATTATTATTATTATTATTATTATTATTATTATTATTATTATTATTATTATTATTATTATTATTATTATTATTATTATTATTATTATTATTATTATTATTATTATTATTATTATTATTATTATTATTATTATTATTATTATTATTATTATTATTATTATTATTATTATTATTATTATTATTATTATTATTATTATTATTATTATTATTATTATTATTATTATTATTATTATTATTATTATTATTATTATTATTATTATTATTATTATTATTATTATTATTATTATTATTATTATTATTATTATTATTATTATTATTATTATTATTATTATTATTATTATTATTATTATTATTATTATTATTATTATTATTATTATTATTATTATT